AAAAAAGAGATAAAGTTTCGAGAAGAACTTAAGGAAAGTTGTCAAGCAGCACTCAGGGCCCAACTGAGGCTGAAAAATACTTTCACAGTTGTATGGCTTTTTTACCTGGGGATTTGACAGGTCAAGTATAAGAAAAGATCAAGTGGACAGTTAGATGAATAGATTAATTGCTTTTTTTGCCAAACCCACGTGATGGTAGGACAATGGGTCAAGGGAATTAAGGAGAATGGTTGTATCAATGAACTACTGAACCTAAGCTGGATAGATAAGGGGGTGAAGATCAGGGCCTGGAGCACTTTCTGTGTTTGAAGATTACTTATGGTCTGAGTAACTGAGTGATGCAGCTAGAATAACAGGAAGTTATGATAAGAAAGTAAGATATCTGAGAACTGAGGTTTTCACAAGTTGAGTAGTTATGAAAGATAAGATCTACAGTAGAGCCACTGAAGACAGTAGCTAATGAACAATAAAAGAGAGTATCATTAGGAATGAGAAGATTAAAAGACTAAGAGATTAAGGTGTTGGCCTGTGTCATGAATGTACAGATAAATTCATTCAAAGTGATATTAAAACTTGGAATATAATGGAAGACCATGAGTTAGGTGCCACAGATTCAGTAATTGATGGAGACAGTGTGGAATAATAGAGAAGCCAGAAAAATGGCAAGACCTGTTCAAAGGAACAAGAGATTTTACACAAGAGCAATGGGGAATAAAGAGAACACCAACCTCACTAGCCAACCTGTAAGACAGGGCATGGAACTATGGGAGAATGAACAGGATCCACATCAGAGGGCGGCAGTGTGAACCCTATCTTCAGGAAAGAGTAAGCTTTCAAGAAAGGGAGTAGAAGCAGCACATAGCTGCTTCTACTGAAACGGTTAAGAATGTAGGAAAGCTTGTTTATCACTAAGTGGGGTTCAAGATGGCATAGTCAATAAATTTGGAAGAGAAGAGAGTGGTGACAAGCTGGATCACAAGAGAAGCAGAGTACTGCATAGAGATGATTATGAAGCAGAAAACTATATGGCGATGAGTATGACAGAAGAAATGACTTAAGGAGCTTATATCTTGAGTAATGATTGAGATTAACTGGGATGCATATAAAGCAAGGCGGGGGGATGACTGCATGAACAGGTAAGTAGTACTACAGGAAACAATGGAAAGACTAAGAATAAGATATGGAATACAACTGGGAACAAATAATTTTGCCTGGGAAAGTCAGAAACCTTCAGAGAGGTGATGCTTGACAACTGGATCACAGCTCAGATATCATTTATGTATATCCCTTCTCTACTGAATAAATGCCTTAAAAAAAAAAATCAGGAATTTTTAGGTATATTTCAAACTTTATACCAACTCAAAATGTGTTTTTAATAATCGAGGTTTATCTATACTTTAACTTTTCTATATGTAAGTGAAAAAAATGAAGTTAACACAAAGATCAATTATTGCCTATATATTCTTCTAAGCAGAAAAATTTAAGTATAATAAAACCTCAGGAATTTAAGGCAATTTAAATGCTCTCCCTACTCCCAAATGTATTACAACTTTTTCTAGAAATGTAGCTTTATTAAGAATGTTACTCATTAATAAAGCAAATATAGACACTTAAGCTTTGGGAGCGACAAAATTCTTATCTTGGTGGTTTCACTGTTACAGACATTTGTTACAGCTCATCAAATTATACACTTTAAATGGGTACAGCTTATTGTATGTAAATTATGCTTAAATAAATCTGATATTAAAGAACTAAAAGACAACACTTAAGGTAAAAGGCACAGATAATTTGGTAGCTGCTATTTATTATCATAAAGAAAATCAAGATTCAAAAAAGAAAATCAGTGATATATTTAATCTAGAATTGTCCCGTTACCCTAAAACAGTCACTTATTAAACGTAAACAATTTTAGATGTATATAATATTGCACTAATATAGGAACAGCCAACTGAAGTCTGTACTAAAAATTCTATATTCAATATAATAAAGTTCCCATGAATTCTGTATTTTATAATACAACAAACTAAATTATTTAACATCTATTTGTACAACAAATGAACAGTTACTGCACATTAAATACTGTGTTAACTGCTAAGGACACAGGAGTGAAGGATAGTTATTAGTTACTGGCCCTCTAATGAAATATGCTAAATGAATCTTTAGTTTACTGGTTCTCTAGTTTACCCTCTGTAATGGACTGAATTGTATACTCTCAAAATTCTTATGGTGAGCTCCTAACCCTCAATGTGAGTGAGTGTACTTGGACATGGAGCTTTAGGGTTAGATGAGATCATGAGGGTGGGACCCTCTTAACAGGATTCGTGACTTTATAAGAAGAGAAAGGGGGATTGCTCACTGGCACTCTCTCTCTCTCTCTCTGCCATGAAGACACAGCGAGAAGGCAGCTATCTGAATGCCAGGCAGAGGGCCCTTACCAGGAACCAAATTGGCTGAAATCTTGATCTTGGGCTTTCCAGCCTCTAAAACTGTGAGCAATAAATGTCTGTTGTTTGAGCCACCCATTCTGTGATATTCTGTTATAGTGGTCAAGCAGATTAATATAACCTCTTTCTTTTACAGTACATTTTTCCTTTAAGATCTTGAAAATGTGGGGAAATAACAGATACTGGTTTGAAATACCATGTGAGATTTTGTAAACTCTAAAATGAATAAATGAATTTTGAATTTTTTTATATAAAACATTCTTGAAATGTTTTCTATGTAATGCTAAGATAGTATAGAGAAATGTTTATTCTAAGACTATATCAGTAATCTAATTTGGCTTAATTAACTGCTATTAGTAATTAACGTAAATTTAACTAACTGGACAGCATTAAAATTTCTCTCAGACAAAAATGTGATAAACATATATTTACACTATTATCATAATATGATAAAAAATCAAGATGGTCTTATCAAGATGAAATATAGTAATTTCACATACACTAAAAAGTTAAAAAGTATATACTCACATGCCAAGCCCCACCAGGTGGACCTTTACCAAGAACTAAGTGAGGGATATAATGATGTTGTTCTAATTTCCAATGCAAAACAGATGGATAATCATACCCAAAGTCAGCATCTGGATGAAGAAGTGTGTCAAAAAGTACTGCAACTGGATTGGAGGATCGGCCCTCAAGGCCCTCAGACAAATATTCTAAGTCCTGAATGGGAAAAAAAAAAAGGAGATAGAGTCTTTAAAAAGCCCAAACAGTGATCATAATAATAGTGAAAGTCATTACTCTAATACAGAACTTCTCAGATATCCTGGCTATAAAATATAAAACACTGACGTTCCTTGAAATCTTAATAGATTCTTTGATCAAATAAATACAGGAGAAGGTTGTTTCAATAAAGCTAACCAGATTCTTATACCACAAAACTTGAAGATGTCTTTAATGTGCTAATGTCTACCACGATACTCCAATAATAAAAAGCAGTACCTCCCAAATTTATTTTAGTACAGAGCACCTATTAAAACTCCATGAGGAAATAATTTAGGAATTCTACTCTACCAAATTCAAGAACATAAATGGAACTAACTCAGCAGAATATATTTGTGAATCTAAAATAAAAAGGATAGAAGGTATTGTTTCTGTCTAAGAAACAATGCTTATAGAAATAAAATCTAATTGTTTCAGTAAAAAAAAAAAATTTCAAGATGGACATGTAAGAAATAATACCTGATCAACAATGGAAAGATGTCTTGCTTCTTCTAATTTACTATGTAAGACTGTATTTGGGTGTATTGCTTCTGATGATAAATATGGTCTGTAGCCTGATAACATATAAGAAAGGCATATTCCTGAGGGTCCATTTCCTATTTAAAAAAAAAAAAGGTGGAAAGGTATACATCATGCAACTTAATATTCTTGTTCCTTGGCTTTTCTCCTACTTCAAAATTGGCTCCTCTCCGTCACCAATTCTTCTTTCTCTAATCTTTTCGATCCAGATGTTTCACAAGATTCTGACCTTTGTTTCTCTATTTTCTTTTGAGAAACTCATCTATTCAATGCTTCAACTTTCTATGCTACTGATTCCCAAAATTAATTCTCCAGGCTGACAGGAGATATATCCCACATTCCATATGCTACTTCTTCATTCCACCTGACTGACAATAACTTAAACACAGTGTGTTTAAAAGGAAACTCATGAGTCACTTCATTCAGATGACCTCTCTCTTTCAAACCCCATCCCATCTCCAAAGATTGTACTTGCAAACTCCAAAGTTAATAAGGTCTGGTTCTAAACCTATTTTGCTCCCATATCCATTCAGCTGTCTTGACTATTCTCACTCCTGTACCTTCACCTAAAAGATAAAAGTCTCCTACTGCTTCTCCTTCTTAAGATTCACCCACTCCCAAACCATTTCATATACTACATTCAGAAAAGTTTTGGTAACACATAGTCCTCACGTTACTCCTCTATTCTAAAGGCCTCTCGTGCTTCTTTCTGACTATCCCATCTGGGTTCTGGTCTCAACCGTATTTTCAGTCCCAACTCCTAACACTGCCTTCCTATGTTTATGTTCTTTAAATAAAACTAAACTGGATTTGATGGTGAACTACTTCCATTTTTGTAGTTCTTTTAGTCTGGGTTGACACTTCTTTATTATCTCTACCAAAAATTTAATCCAGCTGAGACAACTTACTAGCCATGAAGGAAAAGAATCCCATTTCTTGCCTAATACATTACCCCAAATAAAATATGCTCAAAGATGTAAATAAGAAAAATAAACCATAAGAATATTAGAAACAGGGTAATATTTCTACTTATACTGCTGGAGTGGGAAGACTTAAGTCTGACAGAAAATTCTAAAGACAGAAGGGAAAATAAACCATTTGACTTCATAAAAATAAAAAACAAACGGTAAACAGGAGGAGTTGGGATCTGAGGCAAGTAGCTAGTTTGCTTGAATCAAAAAGAAAGACAAAATTAATGAAGACAAATGATATGCTAGTATTAATAGCTACAGAAAAAACATTTGACAAAATCTAACATTCATTCATGATAAAAAAAAAGAAAAAAACCTCTCAATAAATCAGGAATAGAGGGGAACTTCCTCAACATGATAAAGAGAATCTACAAAGAATCTACTAGATGCTTTCCCTCTAAGATAGGGAACAAGACAGGGAAGCACCTCTCACTATTCCTACTCAACACCATAATGGAAGTCCTAGCTAATGCAATAAGACAAGAAAAACAAAAAAGATACACAGATTGGGAAGGAAGAAATAAAACCACCTTTGTTTACAAATGACATGATCATCTATGTCAAAAATCCCAAAGAATCAACCAAAAAAACTTCCTGGATCTAAAAAGCAATTAGAGCAAGATGGCAGGATACAGGTCAATATACAAAAGTCAACTACTTTCCTTTATACCAGCAATGAACAAGCTGAATTCGATATTAAAAATACAACATATTTACATCTGCACCAAATACTTAGGTATAAATCTAACAAAAAATGTACAAGATCTATATGAGGAAAACCACAAAATGCTGATAAAAGAAATTAAAGAAAAATGACATAAATAGAAAGATATTCCATGTTTATGGATAGAAAGACTCAGTACTATTGAGATATCAGTTCTTCCCAACTTGAGGTATAGATTCAACACAATCCCAATTAAAAAATCCCAGCAAGTTATTTTGTAGATATTAACAAATTGATTTTAAAGTCTATATAGAAAGGCAAAAGACCCAAAGTAGTTAACACAATATTAAAGAAAACAAAGGCAGAGGACTGGACACTACCCAACTTCAAGTCTTACCATAATGCTACAATAAACAAGACAGTATGAAATTAATGAACCAATAGAAAAACAGATAAATGGCACAAAAATAGAGTACACAGATATAGACCCACATAAAAATAGTCAATTGATCTTGGACAAAGAAGCAAAGGCAAACCAATGGAAAAAGGACAATCTTTCAACAAATGGCACTGGAACAACTGGATATCCTCTTATAAACATATAAATCTAGATACTAAACTTACACCTTTCACAACAATTAATTCAAAATGGATCATAGACCTAAATGTGAAATGCAAACTGTAAAACTTTTAGAAGATAACCTAGAAGAAAACCTAGGTGACCTTGGGTCTGCTAATGAGTTTTAGATATAACACCAAAAGCAGAATACATTAAAAAAAAATTTGTAAATAGGACACCATTAAAATTTAAAACTTCCGCTCTGCAAAAGTTACTAAGAGAATGAAAAGACAAGTCATAGAATCAAAGAAAATATGTGCAAAACACATATATAATAAAGTACTCATATCCAAAATATACAGAGAACTCTTAAAATTCAACAATAAGAAAACAAAACAATCCAACTAGAAACTAGGCAAAAGATCTGATCAGATACCTCACCAAAGATAATAGAGACAGCAAATAATATTATGAAAAGATGCTAAGCATCATACATCATTATGGATTGCAAATTAAAACAATGAGATACCAGTACCTACCTATTAGAATGGCTAAAATCCAAAATATAGACCACACCAAATTCTGACCAGGATGTGGAACAACAGGAATTCTCATTCACTGCTACTGGAAATGCAAAATTATCTAGCCACCTTGCAAGACAGTTTGGCAGTTTCTTACAAAAACAAACAGTCTTACCATATGATCCAGCAATTATACTCCTAGGTATTTGTTCAAATGAGTTAAAAATTTATGTTTGTGCAAAAACCTGCACATGAATGTTTATAGCAACTTTATTCATAATTGTCAAAAACTGGAAGCAACCAAGATGTCCTTCAAAAGGTAAACAAAATGAGTAAACAAACTGGTACATCCATACAATGAATCATATTATTCAATGATAAAAGGAAATGAGCTATGAAGCCACAAAAAGACATAGAGAAACCATAAACGCATACTGCTAAGTGAAAGAAGTCAGTCGAAAAGTTTATATACTGCATGACTCTATTATATGACATTCTGGAAAAAACAAAACTATAAAGACAGCAGAAAGATAAGTGGTTGCTAGGGGTTGAAGGTTGAGGGAAGGTAAGAATAGGTAGAACACAGACTTATAGAGCAGTGAAAGTATTTTGTATGATACTGTAATAGTGGATACATGACGTATACACTTAGAAAATCTACAGAACTGTACATCACAAAGAGTGAACCCTAAACTACTGCTTTTAGTTAATAATAATATACCAATATTGGTTCATCAACTGTAATAAACATACCATACCAATGCAAGCTGTTAATTTTCGTAACAGGGTAAACTAAGAGGAGAGGAAGAGTATATGGAAACTCTTTCTATCTTCTGCTCAATTTCCCTGTAAACCTAAACTGTTGTGAAATATAGAGCCTATTAATAATAAATACATAAATGAATGACAAATGGGGGAGTTAGGATCTGAGGCAAACAGCTAAGTTTCTGGAAACAAAAAGATGCAATACACAAAAGACAGTAAGCAAAGAATACAAACGGGTAGTTCGCAGAAAGATGTCCCAGTCCTAACCCCTAGAACCTGCCAGTGTTATCTTGTAGATGTGATTAAGGACCTTGATATGGGCAATAGCCTGGATTATCCAGGTGAACCCAATCTAATCATGAGTCCTTAAAAACAGAAAACCTTTCCCAGCTATGGTGAAAGGGAGGCATGACTACGAAAGAAGGTTAAGAAAGAAACATTGCTGGTTTTGAAGATGTAGAATGGAGCCAGAAGCTAAGAAATGTGAATAGTCTCTAGAAATTTGAAAAAGCAAGGAGATATTCTTCCCTAGAGTCTCCAGAAAGTAATACGACTCTATCAACACCCTGATTTTAGCCCAGTAAAACCTGTGTTAAATTTCTGACCTGCACAACAGTAAGATAATACATTTATGTTATTTAAAGCCACCAGGTTTCTTTTGTGGTAATTTGTTACAACAGCAACAGAAAACGAATACATATATTAGGGAAATTATCTCTTTGCCTATCATCAGGTTAAGCTACCTATGGGCTGGCTAAGGCAAAACAGGGATAGATAGTCTTGAGAGAAGTGAAATGGGCAGGTACAGATGAAGGTATTCTTTCCTTTTCTGACCAACCCATAGCCTAACCAGCCTAAGAAGATAGTGTTCCTTTACTCATTCTAAGATACACAGGATAGAAAAACAAGGTTGGACAAACAGGAAAAAAATGAAACACAATGTCTGGTCCCTTAGATCTATGTCGGATGGGAACTACTACAAAAACTGTCTCTATTAGATCCTCTAGAGGAGAATCTAAAAGAACAATTTTGTTCTCCTCCTTTTTTTCCTTCCATTATAGCATCTCCCATATGCCAGTCAGAGGACATTAATTATCTTTCTTTTTTCCTACTAACTTTGAAACAAACTATCAAAGAAATTCAGGAAGTCATATGCCACCAAGACATCTACATCCCATAACTCTCTCCTCTGGCTTAGCTGCACACTAAAGTATAATACTTGTTTGACTTCCTTGAGTTTGTATATTAGGTGAAAAATATACATGACACGTAATTAGATGCATGCAATAAAACTAAATTATAAAAATTTATAATTCTGAATTAGGTTGTATTAATAGTTTAATTTTTAATATTTTATATGCCTATCTGTTGAGGTGGTACAAAGGACATATAAAAGTAAGGTTACAGCCAAAGTAATTATAAACATTACTGTAGAGTACTATAATGTCATTGCTAATTGAGCACTGGTTACTAGCTTGCATAGGTCACTCCTGAGTCAGTTTCTCTGTCTGTATGTGCCCTACTAACATCAGAAGGCTACTGAGTTGTAAGGTATAATCCAATAATACACAGAATTCTCTATACAAAGCCCTAATAATAGTAGTTATCATCACTACCACAAAACCGTCATATAGTTAACACAACTGATAGGCAATATTTTAAAATAATGTAGTAATATCAGCCCTTCAATGAAAAGATAATTGCATTTTAACACAGACCCTAACATCAGATAAAGCCATTACGTACTCCAATGATTTGGTTATTAGTTATTTTAGCAAATATTTTAGAAAACAACTTAATAATACTTTTCAATACAATCTTAAGAACTTGCACTATCTACCTATAGATTTATAAAAGCAGTAAGGGTCATACTGTAATTTTAAGAGATAAAAATACAATAACTTACCTATTATTACCACAGGCAAAGTCACTGATGAATCTTCAAGTAAAGACGTTTCTTCAACTAATGGCATAGCTTTAACTTTTTGCCCCAAATTATCACCAAAATATTGCACTAAGGAATTAAAAATCTCTCCTTCAGTTTCAGTGTCACTATAGTTTCTTTAAAGAAAAAATAAAAAGGAACAAAAACAAGAGATACAGTCAACATAGAATTTATAGTCTTTACACAGATTTTATTTAAGCCAGAATATATATAATAGTTTCACAGGAGAAAAGGAAATTGTTTCTGATTAATGCTTTCAAATTAGTAGCTCAGCTACGTCAACCTGTACCAATTTGAAAGCCCCAAATCCTAAATAACTTCTTATCTCTCATTAGTATCTTGTAGACAACTCCCTACTAAATAAGCAGCTCTCCTTAATGACCAAAGACGGCATTGTATTGGGGATTTTATAATTCTCTGAGATCTCCTAGGAATGGCTAAATTCTCCCTTACTTTTTTCCTATTAACTAAAAAGTGAGTGTACTAAAGACAATATATAGTCACATATATTTTATGTAAAAGTTATCATACTTATAAATTGTGCATTTTGGTAAAAGAAATATCGTATATTTTATCCTCAAAAATAAATTAAAATGAGCTTAATGTCGACTTCCAATCTTTCTCCCTAGAAACTAGTTTTAGCATTTTGACATGTTCACGCAATAAATGGAGTTTGCCATGAACACAGTCACTGTTCTGCATTACTTTAGGACAGAATGCCCAAATTATTTTTCATCTTCATACAATCAGCAATAGCTACAATTTCTGGAAGTATTAAACTGTGTACCTCCTAGTGGGTGAGTGTGTTTATTACTCTTCCCAAATGATAAATGAATATGGAGTGGATCAGTTATTTCACAGGACTCAAGTCAACTCAATAATCCCAGAGGAGATTGATCAATCGAAAGAATTAAGCAGAAATAGGAATCTCTGCTTCCCTATAACTTTCAGAGTTCACAATCTAGCCTAGCATAGGGCAGAGTTCTTAGGATATACTAAGCAATTTCCTGAGTCAAAGAAAGTAACCTCTACCCCCAAATATTTGGACTCCCCTTACATGGCTTCTTTAACATATGCATCCAAAACATATGCATCAAGCATGGCTGCTAAGGGAAACCCTTCTTCACACTGCAAGTCTACCCATGGAAGAAGTGTCTTCTACTCGATTCATCCCTTTCTGAATCATTCCAACTACTGCCTCTGATCAAATCCAGATGCATCTGCTGTCTTGCCAGCGCCTCTTCTTGGCAACTGAACATGAGTATTTTATACTCTGGCCTTGTCCCTAATATTTCTTCAAAGCAGGCATCCTCAAACTACGGCCCATGGGCCACAGGCGGCCGGCTGAGGACATTTATCCAGCCCACCGGGTGTTTTTGCCACTGCTGCCTGTCCTGCTTAGCAGCTGACTCATCCCCAGGCCCACGGTGCACATGTGTGGAATGTGTGCTGCACTCTCCAACGGCCCTCCAACGGTTTGAGGGACAGTGAACTGGCCCCATTTAAAAAGTTTGAGGACCCCTGCTCCAAAGTGTGTGCAAAAGATAGGTTCCTTTGCTCCCTTTGGAGGCGTCTGACCAAAGTAATCTTGGCCTGGTTATCACTGTTGTTGTAAAGGCCACAATTCTTTTCTGGAGATAGAGATCTCATCTTCAGTTTCTCTCGGACAGTCCCTACCTCAAACACTGTTGCTTCCATATATATAACATGAGAAATAATTAATAAAAATGATAATCATTCTAAGTTTTTGGTTACTACAAAGATGTTTCCTTCTTCAAATCGTAAACATTTTACATTAAAAGCGGGCAGGGGGGAAGGGATTGCCAAATTGAGAGTATACATACTAAACGAGATTACTTAAATATTCCCTGATACCCTGTACATTCTGAAGGCAAATTTAGGATCTTTTGAAAACAACTGTGAATTAAGACATGTTAGCAGTTACTACCACAGTTAATTTTATAAGCAAAACTCAAATGACCTAAAATGCCTTGGCCAGTTTCTTAAGTCTACAAATAAATGCTACGAAATATTAATAAATACTTAATATTCAAATTCCTTAAAGACAAATCACGGCTAGGAATGCTGGCTTAAAGAAATTCCACGTCACTTTTGCTTAAAGGTACAGAACTCAATTTTGTATAACTCATTATTATGAGGCATTTATAATTCTAAGTCATAATGTCTCAAGCCTTGGATTTTTAATACAGCTATCAATTCTATATACTGACTATATCTTTTACAAACAAGTACCTCTCCTTACACTGAACTTGTCCTCTCAAATCAGTTTATACTTAAAAAAAAAAAAAAAGGTTAACTTGAGAAGACAATTAGAAATAAAATACCCTCTGTTGGGCTTATTAAAAAAGACAAACAGCTTTCAAGAGTTCAAAAACATAAGACAAACAACAGATCATTTGATCAGGCCCTAAATCAAGGTAAACAGAAGGAGACTTGGAAAGAAAGTTTTTTGGTTTTTGTTTTTTTAGAATAAGAGACTTTTAATGAGACTTTAATGAGATATAATCCACACATAAAATTCAGTGCACAATTCAATGGTTTCTAATATATTCACAAGGTTTTGCAACCATCACTAATAATTCCAGAAAATATCTATCTCAGAAATATATCACACACCCATTAGCAGTCACTCTCCATTCTCCCCTCTCCCAAGCTACTGGTGACCACTAACCTACTTCCAGTCCCACTGTTTTTGCCCATTGTGGACATTTTATATGAATGAGACTCCTCATACAATATACAGCTTTTTCTGTCTGGCTTCTTATACTTCTTAGCATGTTTTCAGGTTCACTCATGTGCATGTATAAGTACTTACTCCTTTTGATGTCTGAATAATATTCCATTGTGTGGATATACCACATTTTGTTTATGCATTCATCAGATGATGAACATGTGGGCTATTTCCACTTTTTGGCTATTATGAATAATGTTGCTATGAACATTCACATACAAGTTTCTGTGTGGACAGTGTTTCCATTTCTTTAGGATATATTCCCAGGAGTGCAAAGGCTTGGCCATAAAGTCTCTAACATTTTGAGGAACTGCCAAACTATTTTCCAAAATGGCTGCACCACTTTACATTCCCAATATGTAAGAATTCCAATTTCTCCACATACTAGCTAATACTTGTCTTTTATCTTAGCCATCCTAGTGGGTGTGAAGTAGCCTCTCATTATAGTTTTGATTTGCATTTCCCTAATGACTAATAATGTTAAGCATCTTTTCATGTGCTTACCTACTATTTGTATATCTTTTTTGGAGAAGTACCTGTTCAAATTCTTGGCCCATTTTTTAATTAGGTTTTTTATGATTGAGCTTTAAAAGTTCTTTATGTGTTCTAGATATAAGTTCCTCTTCAGATATAGTTTACAAATAAAGTATTCTGATTCATTCTGTGGACTGTCTTTTTAATTTTTTTTTTTTTTAAGAGAGAGGATTTCACTGTCGCTCAGGCTGGTCTGGAATGCTTAGGCTCAAGAGCATCAGCCTTCTGAGTAGCTGGCGGTACAGGCATGTGCCACCATGCCCAGCTTTGCCTTTTCACTTTCTTTTTTTTTTTTTTTTTTTTTTTTTGAGACAGAGTCTCGCTTGTTGACCAGGCTAGAGTGAGTGCCGTGGCGTCAGCCTAGCTCACAGCAACCTCAAACTCCTGGGCTCAAGCAATCCTTCTGCCTCAGCCTCCCGAGTAGCTGGGACTACAGGCATGTGCCACCATGCCCAGCTAATTTTATATATATATTAGTTGGCCAATTAATTTCTTTCTCTTTATAGTAGAGACGGGGTCTTGCTCAGGCTGGTTTCGAACTCCTGACCTCGAGCAATCCGCCCGCCTCAGCCTCCCAGAGTGCTAGGATTACAGGCGTGAGCCACCGCGCCCAGCTCCTTTTCACTTTCTTAATGATGTTCTTTGAATCATGAGTTTTAAATTTTGATAAAGTGCAATTTATCTTTCGTTGCTATGCTTTTGGTGTCCTAAGAAATCACTGCCTGATCCAGTCACAAAGACTTACTCCTGTGTTTTCTTCTAAGAGTTTAATTTTAGTGCTTACCTTAGGTCTTTGATAATTTTTGTGTATGTTATGAGGTAGGTACACAACTTCATTCTTTTGTTTGTGGATATCCAGTTGTCCTGGCAACATTTGCTGAAGAGACTCTTCTTTCCCCACTGCCTGAGGACCCTAGTCAAAAATCAGTTCACCATAAAAGGATTTCTGGACTCTGAATTCTATCAAATTGATCTATAGTAGGGGTCCTCAAACTTTTTAAACAGGGGGCCAGTTCACTGTCCCTCAGATCGTTAAGAGAGTACACACTGTGGGCCCGGGACAAGATGCTGCTAAGCAGGACAGGCAGTAGCGGCAAAAACACCTGGAGGGCTGGATAAATGTGCTAGGCGGCCCTGATCTATAGCTCTACCCTCATACCAGCACATTTCTTAATTACTGTTGCTGTGCAGTAAGTTTTGAAATCAGGAAGTGTGAGTCCTCCAATTTTGTTGTTCTTTTTCAACATTGTCTGGCTATTCTAGGTTCCCTGCATTTCCATGTGAATTTCTTGGATCTGCATGCCAATTTATGCAAATATGGCAGCTGGGATTTTTTTTTTTTTTTTTTTTGAGACAGAGTCTCCCTTTGTTGCCCAGGCTAGAGTGAGTGCCATGGCATCAGTCTAGCTCACAGCAACCTCAAACTCCTGGGCTCAAGCAATCCTTCTGCCTCAGCCTCCCGAGTAGCTGGGACTACAGGCATGCGCCACCATGCCCGGATAATTTTTTATATATATATTAGTTGGCCAATTAATTTCTTTCTATTTATAGTAGAGACGGGGTCTCGCTCTTGCTCAGGCTGGTTTTGAACTCCTGACCTTGAGCAATCTGCCCGCCTCGGCCTCCCAGGGTGCTAGGATTACAGGCATGAGCCACCGCACCCGGCCAGGCAGCTGGGATTTTGATAGCATTGCATTGAATCTGTAGATCGAATTCCAGGAGTATTATCATCTTAACAATACTAAGTTTTACAATCCATGAATATGGATTCCTTTCCATTCATTTAGACCTTTAATTTCTCTCAACATTGTGTTTCCAATGTACAAGTCTTGCTTTCTTGTATTAAATTTATTCCTAAGTATTTCATTATTTTGGACACTTCTTGATTATTTCACAATAAATGGAACTTCTGTTAATTTCATTTTCAGATTGTTCAATGTTAATATAGAGAAATACATTTTTGGGGTATGTTGACCTTATATCCTGCAATACTGCTGAATTCAATTATTAGGTCTGGTAGTTTTTATTGTGTGTGGCCCTCAAGTAATTTGACTCTAGTCTGCCCCAAGACTCGAGAAAAATAAGAACCAAAGTTTTAGCTTACCTAAATTCTCTATATATTAGCTTATCTAAATTTACACAGATAATTTGTTCTAATTTTTTAGTAGTCACTGGTATTAACTGTGTGACAAACTATCTGTAATAAACTTGCTCGCTATCTGATAAATTTAATAGTGGCTTAACACAGAGATATGAAAAACTATGAATCAAGAGAATGAAACAAAAAATAAAAATATGGTTCACTAGTTTTACATAAAGCAATAATGAAATAAAAGTCCACTAGGAACTATTCTTTCTAAAAAAATCAGAGCCTAAGTTATAAATTTAGTATTGCTGTACGTTTTATAGTCTATGCATACTATATCACAGAACTATGAACAGTGTTAATCTCCACTTTCGATCTCCAATTTGATGAATGTTTGTTCTATTTAATATAAGAACTTATTTTGAATAATAAAAACCTACCTTCCCTTTATCTGGGACACCAATTAAATTGGAAAATATGTGCAATTACATTTAGGAAATAGTAAAGAACAGCACTTAATGCACATAAAAAATAGTTAACCCTATACTTAGGCATCAAGTTAAAAGACTATTTGACATTTAAGATGATTTTAGAGGCCTTCCAATTTTTTATTTTGAAACATTAAGGATGGTGTAGACATAATATTTGGATAACACAAAACCATTTTCCACATCATAGCAATATTTCAATTACTCCTTTGAAAAGTGTGCGGAGAGTTAGGTCCCAATACCCATCCAGATATTAAACAAGATCCAAGATGTAAATGTTGTCACAACCTATTTTAAAATGTATGTTTCTAATAAAACTTGCTCAAAGAACAGCATTAGTAAATTAGAAACATAACCCTAAAGAAGCTGGCCAACTTTTATTTTCGATTTTAGACACAACAGTTTTGCAATGAAAGTGTGGCTGATTAATCATATTGTTTATCTTTTGGCTAGCAGGCATGATTTCCTTTCTGTCCCTCTAGACCAAAATACAGCAAATACTTTGTTTTCAGCCCCTACTCCAAATTTCTGTGCATAGCAGTAAGCATATGGTATTAACCATCTATGGTTAATCAAAAGGATATGAATCCCATGCTGTATATCAAAAGGTCTCAAATGGCTTTTAGACAGTATTTTCTGAAAGATATGTTAGTTCCTAAACAGTTTCAGTTTAATGTGTTTTCACTAGGGGAACCTGTTTTCTAAAACTCTCCAAAGTGAATTTGATATTCTCAAAACACTGTCTTTTGGTAGTCAACAAACAAATTTTTTTTTGATCACCTTGGGTAGAGTAACAGTGGCACCATCATAGCTCACTGCAACTTCAAAACTCCTGGGCTCACCTAATCCTCCTGCCTTGGCCTCCCAAGTATCTAGAATTACAGATGCCACCACATCCAGCTAATTTTTTCTTTTTTTTTTTTGGTAGAGATGGGGTCTTGCTCTTGCTCAGGCTGGTCTCTCACTCCTGAGCTCAAGTGATCCTCCCATCTCCCACCTTCACAGCACAGAGTGCTAGGATTACAGGCATGAGCCACCAAACCCGGCTGAAACAAACTTGCCTTAAAGTTAAAATCAAGCACTTTATCACATAAAACAATTTTTTTCAATATCTAGAATTTAAAGACTCACACAAAACTTACTGAGAAGCTGGACGAGCCTAGGTTTTTGCCATTATAATGGGAGTTCTAAATTTTCTCTGTGCCTTAAATCCTTTCACAATTTTGTGAAGCCTCTAGACCTCTTCTCTGAATAATGTTATTAAACACATATAGGAATTACAAAGAAATTTATTATAAACTAAAATATAGACTTAGAAACTAAAATATATGCTTTATATATGTGCTTCCCCATTGCATTAAATAAATTCAGTGATGTGTGATTACTGTGATTTTAAAGAAATAATAAGCATAAACTATTTCTAAATATCTGCAACTGTCATGAGATATGAAAATAATCGTAATTTCTGTTGACAGAAATGCTTCTCATGAATGATTAATACTGTTGAGCATCTTTTCATGTGATTTGTTGTTTATATTTCTATTGAAGGAAATGTTAGCTTTTAAAGTTTAGTGAAAATAATATACCTTTCTTTCCATCCAAGTTCACGGACCACCTAAATTCTACCTATGAAAACCTATTTAAGAATTTTTGATCAGTTTCATACTTTACCAAAAAAGAAGTTTTACAGATCATTATCCTGGAATATAATCCTGGAATAAAGTACTAAAGTCTTTAAGCTTAACATTTCTTCACCTCACAGTTAAAACCAGTTTCTAGTGTCTTTGGTCTCTCTCCCTATAATTTAAGTGTTAGCCAACTGTGCTAGATCTAAGAACTACACTACTATTTTAAAACTGCATTATCTTTATCATCCCTAAAAACTTTCCCCATAATTCTGAGTGTAAAATAGCAACATTTTTCAAATTTAAACAATATACACCGCTTAAAATGACTAATATCTCAGTAAGTCAGAACCTATTCTTAACTAGATGACGACACTAAAACATAGTTCCCTACCTTCCTTCAACCCCATTATGTTATTAAAAGATTTTAATTTATATTTTTGAAGAAGGAAGGCCCTTCGTGGAATCTTTCACCAAAACTTTGTACTACTTGGGAGTCTCAGTTCGCCGTAACCGACTCAGGCAGGGCCTAGCTGGTCCCACAGTCCCGTGACCGGTGCGGTCCAGCGCAAGGAACAGGGGACAACAGAGTAGGGCTCCCAGGGAAGGGGCACCCCCCTCGAGCGGGGGCGGCCGAGACGGGTCGCGCTGGTGGGACACTGCGGTCCAGGGGCTCGCCCTCCACCCCGGCCCAGGCCCGGCTGCGGGACCCAACAGCGCTCCACCCCCGGCCTGCTCCCCTCTCGTCCCCAGCGGGCAAGTCACCTGAAATGACCGGTCAGGGAGCAGCGGCAGCACCACACCGGCATGGAGCTCTGCGCGAGGGGCACCCGAGCGCGGCCACCTTGGCCGCCACCGCCTCCCTCGGCCCGGCTGCCCGCTCCGGGCGCCCGCTCGTTCGGGGTCGCGGGGTCCGCCGGGCGCCCCCGCCCAGCGCCTCGCCGTTGCTGCGGCTGCCCGGGCTCTGTGGCACCCGAGTCCGCCTCCGGACAGCAGCTTCCGCTCCTCGCCCTCGGGGAGCCAGGCGCTGGCGGCGGGTGATCTCGGGGCGCCGCGATGGGGGCGGAGCGGGGCGGGGACGCTGCGACTGCGACGGCGGCGGCGGCGGCGCGCGGGCTCCTCCTCGCAGGTGCGGCGGCCGCGGGCGAGGCCGGCGATTGGTGGAACCCCGGCCGGGGCGAGGGGGATGGCCAGACTGAGCCGAGGCTGCGCGGGCGGGCCGGGGGGCGAGGTCGCTGGCGGCTGTGGCGACTGCAACCAGGGTCCGGACCTCGGCCTGCGCTCCGCGGCCCCTCCGCGTGGGGCTTGGCGAGGCCGGAGGATGGAAGCTGAGGGAGCCGAGAGAGCTGAGGGCCGAGCGGAAGAGAAGGAGCTGCTAACCGGGCCCGCGGGAGGACCCGGGGGTAGATCCTGTGTGTGGCGCGGCCTTTGCAATCCCGCCAAGGATCCCGGGAATGGCCGAGCCTCCCGCTCCCGAGAACCCACCTTCGGGTATCTCCGCGCGCTGGCCCGGGTGCACACGCCGGAAGCTTCCGGGTGGTTCCCGCCCTTGACCCCGCATCACAGTCCCTCGGGGGAACTCACCTAACCGCAGGTGCTCGGGCCTCGCCCGTCTTTCCGGCTTTCTATTATGGAAGTCCGTTTTCCTGGAAGGGGTCAGTCTCCTTTAACTAAGAGGCTCTCAAACATCCACGAGTGTGAGAATTACCCGCAACGCTGGTTAAAAATCCAGGTGTTCATGCCCTTCCCAGACCCACCCTGTCAGTTTGGAGGATAGGAAGGGCAGGAACGAGAGCTGCTTTTTAAGTCCCTCCAGGCGATTGTGATGCAATTGGGAGTTAGGAAAGTACTGAATAGTGAGTGTCCCTATTCGGTGTTTGTAAAAATTTAAAGGGGTGGGGGACAAAAACTAGGAGGGATCGATTTCATCTATGCAATGTCTGTCTCCCACCCCTAAAAGAGCCCTAATTATTTTCGCGGTTAAACTATACTGTACATGCATTTATATTTTAAAATGTAGCTTCAAAAAATGTCCTTTTAAGTTTTGAAGAATATCGTCATTGAACAAACGCGGTTAACAGGTATTTTAGATTCTGTGGAGCTTAAAAGAAAATCGTAGGACTCAGCCTGCCTCTAAGACTAAGCAATCTAAGAGTATATTTACCTTTTTTAAAAAAAGAAAATGTTTTTCTCTTTTTTGAAGTTTTGACAGTTTGACACGTTCATTTCACATTAACATTGGTTCTGAAAGTGAAGCATGTAGTTACTTTTCCTTTAATATTCATACCATTATACTTTTGAAGGACTTAAATTCCTGAAAGTCCAACCCAGAGAATTTAAATATCTGACACTATCAGAATGTTTATAAGTACTTCTTATAAATTTTTCCTTTATGGCTTTGTTTTCATTTTGAGTTTTCTTGCAGTATTTTAAGATCAAATAGTAAAGTGGTATTTCAAATTTTAGGCTTAATCTGGTTTGCATTTAACCTTGTGAACTTGCTGTTATGGTTTGCTCTTGATAATGGCTTGTGATTAAACCAGGCCACAATGACTAGAGAGGATTTTTCTTATAGTAAATGGGACAGATCAGTATTTTCATATTTGTATTTTGAAGTTGTAGGTAAAGTCTTGTTTAAATATAAAACCCAGGTTGGTGAGGTTGCTACTGTTAGAGTGCAAATTGTGTGTAATCCGAAATTCCAACACCTGAGTGAAAGAAACTCACTCCTCCACTCAGTGCCTACCCTAGTATATTTAGGGTGGGGCTTATCTCACACATGTAACCATGCAAGTTCGTGGTACCTTCTGCGTCTCCAGTGTCACCTGGTGGTAGAATTCTTGCTGAATAAGTGCTTCCTACTGATGTATAATGTGCCAGTATTTTATACATTAAATTATAATGTAGTGGCTAAGGGGATTGTCTTTGTTGGAATCTTTACTATGCTAGCTGTGTTATCTTGGGCAAATTTCTTAGCATCTCATCTGTAAAATGCAGATTATAGAATTTCATTGGTTGTGAGGATAAAACACAAAGTGCCTGTGAAGACACAGCAAAAAGATGACAAACTAGGAATAGAGTCCTCACCAGGAGTGGAATTGGATGGCACCTTGATCTTGGACTTCTTAGCCTCTAGAACTGTGAGAAAATAAATTTCTGTTGTTTAAACCACTCAGTCTATGGTATTTTGTTATGGCAGGCTGAGCTAAGGTAGTATGTTTTTGCATTTTCTAGAAGCAAACAAAAATTTTTAATGTGAACTATTTAAAATAAACTTTCGTTTCATAAACTCTAAGCAGATCATCAATGGACCATGTCCTAAAAGATAGTAATTTGATAGCATAGGACTCAGAGGGTTGTAGAAAACATTCTAGCAAACAGTCCCTCCTCTGTTAAAGCTCTGTGAAGCTCAGATTACTTCTGATAATTCAGATTTGTTATCCTCCAGTCCATTGATACTTTCTGGTACAGTGAATACCTCCATTTAGCTGTTGGCTTGGAATTCTCATCAGTTCAATTGTCTATCTAGATGGCAAATAATAGGAATGCCTCCCTGAATATATTTAAATTGAGCAGGGGGCAGGAGCTATGCTGGGAACTTACATTGAGGTTTGCTCCTGCAGTTTGATCTCAGGAGACAGAAATATACCAAGAAGGCTTATAATTTAAAAAGTACAATTTATTTTTGTGAATATTGTAGCAGTCAGGTTCAGTTGCAGGGAACAGAATTCATAGAATTCACTCTAAGGATAATAAGAATTTCTTACAGGGTACTATATTTTGCAGTATCATAGGAGGGCTGAAGAAACAATACATGTAGAACTCTAAGAAAAAATTTCCCAAAGTCACACAGCAAGAGCGGGCCACTAAGGGAGCTGCCTGCCAAAACAGAAAGCGCAGCTACAGCTGCTGACTCCAGAATTATACCTGACATGTAATATTTAAAATTTTTTTATTGTCTGTCTTCCTGTACTGCAAAGTAAGTCCAGGAGGTCATGAACTTTTTTCTTTGTTCACTGTTGTATACCCAGCCGAGAGAACAGATCTTGGCTTGAAGGAATGAACATACGCAATCATAGGTAATACCCCATAAATCCAGCAGGACTGATGCTGGGTAAGCCTTTAACTAAATGGTAGAAATAAACATGAAATATAAGAGACTCATTTCTCTGTTTCATGGTCAGTAAGGTAAATTAGTAGGCGCTATTCGTATTACTACAAGATTAGAGAAAAGGGCAGAAGTAGAGAACAAGAGAGACAGGAAAGGTAAGTTCTAAGAATCTAGGTTTTCAACATCAGAATAGTAGTTCCAGAAAGTGAGACTAGATAAAGTTGTTGATGAAACTTACTGAACAAGGAAAAAAGTTTCAGAACTAAAGGGAAACATAGTCTGCAAATGGAGAAGATCTACTGAGTTCTGAGCAGGAAAAAGAAAAAATGTACATATAAATATATCATGAAATTTAAGGATAGAATGATGAGAAGATTCTAAAAGCTTCCAGGGAACAAAGTCAGGTCCTCTATAAGGGAATGAGCATCAGGCTGGCAACAGATTTCTCTTAGACAGGACTGGTTATTAAGAAATAAACAATGTCCTGAAAGTTCCTAAGGGAAAATGAACTTGGAATTCTATACCAAGCCAAGCTAGTAATAAAGTATGGGGATAGAATGAAAAATAAAATGAAGTATAAACTGAGAAAGCTTTACCTGCCAAATATTCTTTTTTGGGATGTTATATGAGAAGATAGGTTGGCAAAACAAGGAAATTATCCAAGAAATTAGAGCAGATCAGATCTATTAAATATGATACAGTGGAATGAACTCAGAAATGCAATGAAGGCAAATTCCAGGTTGACAACTGTCATCTGCAGCAAGAGGTCTACCTGTCCAGATTGAAAGGAGACTTCAGGGCTGTAAGAAAGAACTACCTATAGGAAAAAGGGCGTCCCTAGATTTGATAGTATTCTAGAAGTGTTGGAAGAACTTATTCTAATGATGCCATAAAGGTAGACAATTCAAAATCTAGTGAAAAGACAATTTGTAATCCAGTGAGGACAGGATGTATGACAAAAAGTTGCACAAAAAACAATTATAGAATGCAACTTTCCTGGGAAGTGATTACATGGATATAACATTGTTTACTGATTTTCAAGTTTGCAGTCTACCGTAGACAAAGCAAGAATTGCTTAACTATGGATACAGAACACATTATAAATGTTCAGAATGGTAATGTAAAAGGAAACAAGAGAGATGAAGAGAAGGGTGTGGGATACGAAATTCTTATCGGACAAAATGAAGAGATACTGCTTATATTGAAACAAGAAATATGAGTTTAAGTTTTTTTTTTTTTTTTTGAGACAGAGTCTCACTTTGTTGCCCAGGCTAGAGTGAGTGCCGTGGCGTCAGCCTGGCTCACAGCAACCTCAATCTCCGGGGCTCAGCGATCCTACTGCCTCAGCCTCCCAAGTAGCTGGGACTACAGGCATGCGCCACCATGCCCGGCTAATTTTTTGTATATATATTTTTAGCTGGTCAATTAATTTATTTCTATTTTTGGTAGAGACGGGGTCTCGCTCAGGCTGGTTTCGAACTCCTGACCTTGAGCAATCCGCCCGCCTCGGCCTCCCAAAGTGCTAGGATTACAGGCGTGAGCCACCACGCCCGGCCTGAGTTTAAGTTTTAATATATTATTTTAAATTGCAAATGTAGTCAATGGAAAAGCTAACAACAGTGATATAATTTATTAGCTGTTAAGGGTAGGGAAAATGGGAGGTGGTTTCCAGTAGCTAGATCCTTGTCTATCTTGGCTGGAGGTGAATATGCAAGATCTAAGGTTATATATCAAAAATTTGCATCATAAGCATATTATTTACAGATGGGAGGGTAACCAAAAGCAGAGATAAATGTGGTTGCCTCTGGGAAACAAGATTGGAGGGGTTGGAAAAGGATGGGTTCAGGCCTATTGCTTTTTGATTTCGGCCCACTTGAATTCATTCATTCATTTAACGGATATTTGTTGTATGCCAAAAAATGTGCCAGGAGAAAATATCCTATCTCCCCAAATCTTCAGTAATGTCATAAGTAGGATATTTTGTATCACAACAGTGCCAAAATATAAAATTGGATATTAGCAATGTTCTTAAAAATTATTATTAGCCAATTAATGTCAACCATGTCACTACCTTCTTCTCTCACCATTCCTCCTATATTCTTATTCCCTAACAAACTTTTCAGTCTCTGACACCTGACACCCCCACACAGTCTTGTTTGTTGGTGTTGTAGGGAACTCACTAATGGTGCAATAAAGGAAAAAATATGACCTGTCCTACCTTTCCCCTCCAGTGGGATAGTTGGGTGAGGTCCCTGGATTTCTGTGGAGGGCATTTGTGGTTTTGGAGTTCCAGGTAATGATGACACAGGAGCAGCAAGGATCGTGAGCATATTGAACAGATTACTTGGGAGCAGGAATGAGATAAACCTTCTCTTTGTCACCTATGCCAGAGTAGTGGTTCTCTCCTATGTCTGCATACCCAGGGAGCCCTTAGGTCTGCGATTCAAATCATTAATATACAATCTACAT